GGAGACCGTTCCTTCTGCTCGTCCGTCTCTGAATGTCAAATCACCTCTTGACGTGTCCGCCGGCCGTGCGGCGCCGGGAGGTCACTGCAACCCCCGCGGCCGCACGCAGCTGGGCGGAGCTGTGGGTGCGGCCGCGTTGCCGGACTGCCGGCGCGTGGGCCGCCGAGCCTCGCGGGGGCCTGAGCAAGCCGCACCGTCCACGCGGCCCACCTCGCTGTCCGGGCGCCCCGGCCAGGGTGGCTTACTTCGGGTGCTGCCCTCGCCTTCCCGGGGAAGCTCTGGACGCGCTGCTTCTGTAGCGTGAGGGAGCAAGTCCACTGCGGCCTCTCGCGGGACGGGGCGGCAGGTATCGGGGCGGCGAGGCCCCCGGGGGGCGTCCCCAGCCGGCTGAACTCAGCGCCGCCGCCCCCGGGCACCCCGGGCCGCGTGGGGCTGCTGGCCACGCCGCTGGCTGTCGTCCTGCGGCGCTCGGAGCTGTGCGGCAGCTCAGGGGCCTGGCTTGGCACCTTCACGCTCACGCTTGGTGCCAGCCTGCCGTAGCACGCACGCTAGGAGACGTGGCGCCCCCCACGGGGGTGCTGAGTACGCTCAGGTACGCAAAAGTCTGAGCTCTGCAAGAAAAAGGTATGGTATAAACTGGAGGCATACCATTTTTTTTTTAAAGATTTTATTTATTTGACAGAGAGCGAGACACGAGAGAGGAAACACAAGCAGGGGGAGTGGGAGAGGGAGAAGCAGGCTTCCCGTGGAGCAGGGAGCCCGATGTGGGGCTCGATCCCAGGACGCTGGGATCATGACCTGAGCTGAAGGCAGACGCTTAACAGACTGAGCCACCCAGGTGTCCCGGGGCCTATTTTTTTTAAGTTTATTTATTTATTTTAGTAACCTCTACACCCAACGTAGGGCTCACAGTCACAATCCCGAGATCAAGAGTTATGTGCTCTTCTGGCTGAGCCAGCCAGGTGCCCTGACGTAATGGGTGTATTGTTAATGTAACAGGCTCGTCATTTTTAAATGTAGTAATAAACATTTTTTTTAAGTCTTCCTTTAAATTTCTAATAAGGTTAACATCAATAGTTAGAGGCCATAAAAACAGAAGCCCTTTGAGTCCTAAGTGTCAGGAGCCTTGAGTCCCAGGGCAGCAGCGAGGGGAGAGTGCCCTGGGGCCCCATCTCAGCTTGCTCGGATGCTCCTGGGCAAAGGATGCTCCTGGGCAAATCTCGGTTCTCCTCTGTAAAATGTAGGTGTGCTGCAGCTTCTGCCCTCAGGCTCTGCTGAGGTTCGAGTGAAGCAATCCAGATGAAGTGGATTATTTTCTACTGTTGGGGAACAAGACTCCTAAGTAAGTAGCATCTGAACACTTTCCTCAGCGTTTTCTACCCCCAGAGCCTCTCCCAGGAACAGAATGGTGAGAAGAAATTTAGTTATTTTTAGTTATCAACCAATTTTTCTATTTCCCAGGAAAACACTAGGATTTTAAAAACCAGAAGTAGCTCTCTGTGTTTCAAAATTCAAATTTCGTTTTAGTTCTAGGTGTTTGACTCTTTATCGCTCCATCAAGGAAAATCATTTGAATCCGAATATAGAAATGAAGTATTGCCTGTGGGAAGGAGGTGTAATTTAGAAAAACAGAGCATTGATCTGTTTTCCTTTTGAAATTTTTCTGAACATGCATGAAGTATTACACGCCTTAGTAAAACCAAGAAATTGGTAAGTTAAAGAGAAGAATGAAACATTTCTTAACTCTGATACAACAGTAGGAGAAAAAAAATTACTACTAATTCCCACGTGGTGGACAATTACTATGTTTATTTGAAATTTGAAAATCAAATAAATGTTACAGCACCTTATGGTGACAGATGGTAGCTACGCTTGGGAGCAGAGTAGGACACCCAGACTGGTGAATCTCAGTGTTGTATCCTGAAACTAATGTAACATTGTGTCAACGAGGACAATCAAATAAATGCAGTTGGAAAATTAAATGTCATAGGTAAAAAATACGGACAGTTCTGAATACACATATTTGATTTGGGGTAACTGACCCTTCAAATCAACCAGCTGACTTGAAAGAGTAACTTTTATAACCTCAAGATGAAACGTACTCATGTGTTTTAGCCGTGGACTCTTGTAGTCTGGTGATCCCAGAAATACGGTTGGGAAACTGATAAGCTGATCCCAGGATTCCGATACTCAAGTTGCACTATTTAATATTTAGTTGTAGCCCCATTGTTCCGTTCTGGGCACATTGCGCAAAATCCCATGCAAATCACAGGTTAGATTTGACCTGATTTCTTGACTGTGGTTGCTTTTCCATCGCATCCCCTATCCCAGGCTTCTATTTGGCTGCCTGTCCTACTGTGGTTTTCCTTACTGGTAACTGTCACCAGCTCTCTAGTCAACCAGATAGAATGTGTAAGGGACCGTGTGACAGCCAGCGGGCTGTGACAGCACGGGCGACAGGTGCTGCTTGCCCACGTTCCCAGCCAGGCTCTGCCACTAGGTCTAGCCTCCAGTTTCCAAGGGCTGAAGGGCTCCAGTAGAAGAGGCAGTGGCAGGGAGCATCAGTGCACTCATGTGGATGCTCGAGCAGAATCGGAACAGCCGAGAACCCTCAGGAGCGCTGGCTCCTCCATCGAGAGCTATGGGAAGTCCTCACCCCTAGCCATGGTGCTTACTGGCCCTTCCGACCTGGGCAGGTGATGGGATGGCAAGTGCTCGGCATTCACTTTTCTCCTCGGAGGTCAGGCACACTTCCAACTTCCCCAGTTTCCAAGCTTCTGGGCTGTGACGGGATGTGTGGGGGACCTGGAGAATCCCAGAGACTGTCTGGTCAGATGTGTGCATCACTTTCTCTGCTGGTATGGTGGTGGGCGTGACCCATCCCCCCCCCCCCCCCCAGCACCCAGGACTGTCCTCTCCGTCAGTGGGGTGGCTCAGGTGTGGGCTGGAATTCTGTTGCTGGGATTGTCCTCACCATCCCACTGGAGCTGGGTGATGCTGGGGCTGCTTCCCCCACTCAACTCCCATTTCCTAGCCGAGCGGAAACAGGTAGGAGCCAGGAGGGTGCCTGTCATGCCCCAATCAGTGTGTGCTAGCCCTTATGCTTATGGGATCGCCCACCCAGCCCCGCCTCCAACTGCCCTTACTTCTGCAGCACCCTAGGAGCTGGGAGGGAGAGAGAACCCCATCACTGACACCACCGCAGCTTTTGAACAGCTGGGGTCCATACTCACATCTATAGGCAACCCCCAGTTGTTGGTTTCCCTCTGTAGTTTACTTCTGGGGCTGTGCCCACCTTCCCCTCCTGGTCCTCCTCTGCCTCCCTCCTCTTCTGTCTCCATCTGCTCTCCAGTCCTGCGCTCTCCCAGCGGGAAACTGTCCACCTGCTGCCACCGCTTACGTACCCGGCCCCACCCCCACCTAGAAACACAGGAACTTGGGATAAAATACACAGGTGCTTTCAGTACCCACCGCAGAGATTTTATGACCTAAATCGTCTCAAACACACTCGCACCCCAGCAGTAGGCAGCGACTGGCCACCCTTGAGGCCCTGGCAGGAAGGGGAAGATGTCTGTGTGAGAGAATGACCGCTGGGCCACTTGTCCTGAGGTTGTGTTTGCACATTTTATGGAGAATATGTATGTAGATTTCAGGTGGGTTTTGGTTGTGGTGGAGATTATGGGGCCTAAACCTCCCTCTGCACCCCCAGCCCTGGTGAGAAGTGCTTCTGGCCACCTGTGGAGTTCCATTCTTGCCTGGTGCCCTGACCTGGCGGCCACCTCAACTGAAAACATGGGAGCAGGAGGGGCACGGGGTCTGGACCCTCACACCCCGGAGGTGCTGCTGCCCGGGCACTTTGGAGTTTACCCGCACTTGGTCATGTTCCCGTGTTAGGCCAGAAAAGCATGTCCTATGGAAAAAAATCTCTTGGAGATCTAATGAATTGATAATCCTCCTTAAGAATGCAGGGGCTGCTTATGTGACACTAACTTCTGATGCACTCCTAACTGTTCATTTGTTCATCTGAACATTGTAGGAGTGTGTTCATGTCTCTACAACTGGAATAGAAGTTGACAGTGAAGATGTCTCATTCATTTTGAACCCCTGTCATAGCAATAAATCACTGCTTTGCTCACCACAGTGATCACTCATTAAAAGAACTCAATGTGTCGTATTTCCTATGTTATTATGATACAAATGAAACCGGACTGTTTGCCTATTCATAAAACTAGGTCTTTAATTTCAGATGACTGTCTTTCAGCAGTGGCATTAACATGACAAAAAGGGAACTACAATGATGCCTCGAAGTGCCTTCTCCCCCGCGCGCTCCCCGCCGACACCAGAGCGCGGGGCACGGGGCTAGCCTGGCCAGTCTCCCCGCGGCGGGGCCTCCCACCATCTTAAAGGCACTGGGCGGTGGTCAAGGACTTTCCCTCCAACGGGCGAGGACTCCGCCTAGGGCTGAGGACGCACCCGGCCCTCCCAGGACCTCTCCCCGCCTCCCGAAGATGAAAACCGGCCCCGGAGGGAGGCGGCGGGCGGTGTCTCCGGCCGCTCCCGCCCGCGCTGTCCCGGCTCCGTGTCTGGTCGCATGCAACAGTCGGTCGTGACACCCGCCGGGCGCTCGACTCCTCCTTCTGCCTCCGCGTCCCGCTCCGCCTGGGCCAGGCTGTGCCCGCGCTCGCCGGGTTCGGGCGGCTGACGCCTGTCCCCGCCCGCAGATCGGGCCGAGGAGTCCCCGAGCTCGGCGGGGGCGGGGCAGGGGGCGAGCCCCGGCCCGGAAGCAAGGAAGGAAGGGTGCTTCGGCTTACGGACCCTGGGTGGGGGCGCCGGGACGTGAGCGAGCCGGGGATGCGGCGGCCGGACGCAGGTGGGTGCGGCGGGAGCACGCGGCGCCGAGCCCGGCCACCCGTGGGGGTGCTCCGGGCCCCCGCGCACCGCCGACTGAGAGCCGCCCGTCTCCTTCCAGGGCGCGGATGACCCGCCGGCTCGGCGGCACCATGCCTTTCCCGCCCACGCCGCCGCGGGCGGCCGCCGGGAGCCCAGGGGTCCCCGCCGCGCGAGCCCCGCCCCGGAGGTCCGGCGCCCCCCGGAGGGCCGCGGCGCCCACCTGCTCCCCGCCTGCGCCCTCACCGCCCGCCGCCGCCGCCGCGGAGAAGAGGAGGCCCTCAGAGCGGCCCGAGGGGCTGCTGTCCGGCTCCTGGCCCTCGACCACCCTGAAGAGGCCGCCGGCCCGGCGCGCCCCCGGCCCGGCCCCTCCGCGCGCCCCGGCCCGGCCCGCCCGCTCCGGCCCCAGCTACGCGGGGGCTGCAGGGCCCGACGCCGCCGTGCGCTTCTCGCTGAGCCTGACCCCCGAGGCCGTCCTGCTCCTCCAGAGGCGCCACCTGGAGAAGCAGCTTCTGGTGAGGCCCTGCCGGCCGCCGCCCTCGCCCTCGGCCGACGCCAGGCGCCTGCTCGGGCCCTGCCCCTGCGCCGGGCCCGCGGGCCCCGGCCGCCGCCCGCCGCCCCCCGGCCCCCTGCAGGCCCCCGCCCCGCGCCCCGCGCTGCCGGTGTCGCTGCTCAACGAGAGGCACAAGTACGACGACGTGGAATACGAGGAGGAGGCCCCGGTGGCGGACGAGGGCCTGGTCCGCAAGTGCACGGAGTGGCTGCGCGGCGTGGAGAAGGCGGCCGCCGCGCGCGACCACGCGGGGCCCCTGGACACGCTGCCGCACCTGAGCACGCTGTGAGCCGGCCGGCCCGCTGGCCCCCGCACCCACGCCCGCGGCCACCGCCGGGGCCCCCCGCGCGCCCTGGGGGCTCCCCGGCACCCGCCGCCACCTTCCTGGCGCCCGCGGGCAGGACCGGCGTCCCCGCTGCCCCGCGCTGGCTTCGTGGACCCACCGCTCCACCTGGCGGCCTCATCTGCTTTGCACCGCACCCCTCCTGGGCTCCTGGGAGCCTGAAAAGGGCCGGCGTGAGGCACAGGCTCGCCGGCCGCCCCCACCCCGGCCCGCCTCCTGTCCAGGCTCTCCCCACTCTCGGCCCGGACAGCCCCCCTTTCCCTCTCCCACACCCGTGGACTCTACCCCACGAGCTTGCCTCCCGCAGCATTCTGGCCTCCTCGCTCCCGCACATGCCCTTGGGGCTCAGCTGGTCGGGGAGTAAGCCACGGTGAAAATGCCTCTGGTCCGCCACCCCTAAGATTCTTGTATGTCCCAGAGACCCTCTGGCTGGGCCAGTGGTCTGTCACTTTCTCGGGTGCCCGGGTCCAAGGAGAGGTGTCGGCTGGCAGGAGCGCATCCACGAGGGTGGCTGTCTGTCGCAGAACTGGGCGTGGTGCTGCATTTATGATTTTGTTTCTCCAAAATAGAAAACATGTCGGGGGATGGGAAAGCTTGGAAACTCAAGTTAACCTAACTTTCCAACTCGTGAGGGGAAGGATAGGAACCCCAGCAGTGACTCCACCGGGTGAGTGAGGCTGGATTGGGAGGGGCTCTGTCCACACCGAGGCCGCGTCCAGGCCCCCGTCCTGCCCGCGGTGCAAGCCTGCACACTCTTGCCCACGCGTTCACACGCACGCTCACACACTCACACCCATAGCGCTCACTCGTGAACACACTGTCGCTCACACACTGCTCCACACACTGACATACACACACTGTCACACTCACACGGCCTCACACTCGGTGCTCTCACACTCAGTGCTCACACACACGCACACACACCTGTCTCTCACACAGCACACAGCTGCGGAGGTGGTTTTTAAAGGCTGGGTGGAGATGTGAGCAGGAGTGAGGCTCAGCTTCTGCTAAAACTCATTGTTTTTATTTGAAGTGCTGCTCACAGAAAGAAAAAGAAAGAAAGAAAAGAAAGAAAGAAAGAAAGAAAGAAAGAAAGAAAGAAAGAAAGAAAGAAAGAAAGAAAGAAAGGAAAAGAAAGGCTAACCACGGGGAGAGGGGGAAATGCGAATAGCTGTATGTAGATGTAGAACAGAATGTTCCGGGCCAGAGGAGCAATTTACTGAAGGAAGCAAGTGGGAGTCGCTGGCTGGGGTGTGGGCTAGATGTGTGTGTTTCCAGTATTTTTAATCACTGTGTAAAAATCAGTAACATGGATGTACAGTTGTGTATAGTGATTTAAAAAAAACTCTTATTATTTGAATAAAGGGTAAAACTCCTCAGCCTTTTAGGAGCCAGCCATAGCCTTCCCCGCTAACTCCAAGCTGATTTCTTGGTATTTCCTCCACACATCTGATTATATTTAACTCTAAGGTTGAGAAGGAAAAACAAATGTCATCATCAGATAAGGCTGGGCAAAGAAGAGTAATCTATTACCTCAACTCTGACTTATTTTGTAAAAGTCAATAAGTAGCTGAATGTTTATCATGTTGGACTTTAATGTGGTAAGTCTTAATTACATCTTACATTGAAGCCTTACATTTTTAAAAACCGATTTTATATTTTTCTTGTGATCTTTGCTCTAGTTTCTCTCTCTCTCTCTCCGCACAAATCTAGTCAAGCGTGAAGCATTTAATTCAGCGGGGGCTAGGTCAGCCGCCAGATGAGTTGCCCAAACAAAACCCCTCCCACTGAACAGCCTGTGTTGTCTGAATGCAAAGAGCTCGGTTGTCCTTTATTTAAAATGAATGTACTAATACCAGGGGGGCGCAGGTGGCAATCTGGCCGGGGTGACATGGAGACGTGTCCCATGGATGCTGCGGCGGAGGCAGAGTGCTGGCCCTGGACGGTGCCCGGCGGGCTCAGAGTGAGCTCAGGGTGCAGGGCGCTAATTGGCTCTGTGTGCGCTCAGTGCAGAGACCAGTCATTGAGAGACCAAGCTTTCTACTCCTTACAGTAACGCTTTAAAGACTGTCCTAAAGTAATCACTTCTGCAAGCATCTTTCCGCGTCTGCCTGTGTGTGTGTGTGTGTCCCGGGTCCTGACGCTGCCACAGCGTGTGGCTCTGTGTGTCCCTTTCACTTCTTTGTGTCTCTCTTCTCTCCCCCCCCTTCTCTGGGTCCCTGTCCCCATCTCTCAACTGGCTGCAGTGGGACACTGAGCTCTTTCTTCCCCATGGCTTTTGTCGAACAGAGTTTTTTGTGCCTTGTTCTTCACTGTAAAGGCAGATGAGTGGAACATTTATAATTCTCTGATGACCCTCAATAAAAACAAAAGGTTCTACACACGACACGATGTCTCTTCACGTTGTTACTGACATTTTGAGAAGGTTTTTTGAGTCCCTGTGCTGCACTTTCTTAATGTTCAAATAAAAGAGAAATTCAATGCCTCATGTTTTCTTTTTGAGGAAGATTTTTAAAAACTGGTCGGGAAGAGATTCCTAAGGTGTTTGGAGCTGGAGTGGGGCGGTCCTTCTGTGTTGTTGCCCCACCTGAGGGCCTGGGATCCAGGGATCCGTGGGGGTTCATTGGCTCTGATTACTACCAGCAATGACCAGGATTTTAAGAATTCTAATGATGGTCCAATATTATTGTAATAAAGCTGTTGGGGGCATCTGGGTGACTCAGTCGGTGAAGTGTCTGCCTTCGGCTCAGGTCGTGATCTCGGGGTCCTGGGATCAAGCCCCATGTCGGGCTCCTTGCTCAGCAGGGAGCCTGCTTCTCCCTCTGCCTTGTGCTCTCTCTCTCTCTCAAGTAAATAAATAAATAGCCTAAAAAAAAAAAAAAAGCTGTTTGGCAGTGATACTTAACCTTGCTTCAAATCGCAAACCCCATGCAAGCTCTTTTCCAAATCCGCTCCCCAGATGTACCGCATGACAACAAAACTGCGTCCGTGTCAGGAAGCTCACCCCACGCATGCTCACTGGGCCACTTCTCACTTGCTGAAAGTAATTTCAAACTGGTAGGTCACACCAGTTAGAAGCTGAAGGGTCAGTTTGAATAGTGGTGAGGACTATTTGATTTCTAGAAAGGGTGGTATCCCCTAGTAAGTGTGGTTTAGAATTCTTTAGAATATTTGGGTTCACAGAGGAAAAAAAAATAATACAAGGTGTCCATGGAAGTAAGACGGTTGGGAACGTGCTCTCTCTGTGGAAGTGCTGGTATTACGTCAGATTTTCCCATGGCCGCGCTGTCCTGCAGCAGGGGGCAGGGGGCAGGGGCCCCCACCGCAGAGGCTGAGCCTTCGGGGTGGGGGTGAGAGATCATCGAACATCACGGTGCAAGCGAAATGCATGTAACATTCTAGAGACTGGGCGTATATGACCTAATGCCATATGTTTAGGGAATACCCTAGCACTTCAAGACAGATTTTTACGTTGATCTCCTTTATTTCTGGAAAAAGGAGATGGCAAAAGTCAGAACCTTTAGGTCTGTGGTTTCCCTGGAAAGTGCCCAGTTCCGCCAGGTAGATGATCTACGGGATCTGCTCATATTAAACTTACTCTGACCCTGCACTTTTGCACCTGTTTTTTAGCATGGAAATTTCAGCCAAAGCAAGTCCTGAACTATGTCTATGCAGAATGAGCAGTAAGAACACCTGTGTTGCCCGTAATACACACAGACGCCGTTGTCGCCTGCAGGGTGCTTGGAGTGGCCCAGTTCAGACCAGCATCACCTTGTCCAGTTGGAGGCGGCTTCTCCCATGGCCTGGGATGGGAGCCTCAGGCCCAGGTTAGAGACTGAGCACATCTCTGGTATGGTCCAGGAAAACATCCCTTCCCGTGTTTAAAGGTCAAAGACAGAATTTCCATACTGATGCTGTCCTGTGTCAGCCGTATCCCATTAAATGTCTTCGTGTCCTCTTCTCTAAAATGGGGATAAGATGACGTAGCAGATCCTGGTAAGGATTATGATGAGATGTGTGTAAAGCATTGGGGATGACCTCTGCATGTCACCAGCTCAAGGTCAGCTGGAATTATTACTACCTCAAAAAAACCTCACTACTCATTATAAGACATTATTCTCTGGCACTTATATGTGCAAAATCAATACCCAACTTGGTTATAATATTCTGAGGTTTTTCTGTCTAATGCATACCTGTGGTGGGGGATCTACACTTTTATTTTCCTGAGGAGTTTAAAAATAAAAGTACCTATTGTGCTTTACCTTCTTATTTCGAAATTATTTATTATTTATGTTCTGAATACAAAATTTACCTCTGAGCTGGTAGCAAAGACAAAATTAAAAATAGTAAGTTATATAATTTCAATATCCAATAATGAGAACACTGACCCATTACAGAGACAAACTTTTTCTTGGAGAAAATGATTTTTGTGTTATGTTTATATTTGTATACAACACAATGGACAGTATCCTTAAATGCAGTTTCTGGAAGATGCATAGATGTTCTTCATATCAATACTTGTTCTTGATAAAAGCCAGTGGGAGAATATCCAGTTGCATCCTCTCCCACATTGGCCCATCCCATCTTGCAGACGTGGGTTATATGGAAACCTGCAAAAAAATGGTAGAGATTCTTTAGGAAGTAGTTTTAGATCATTAAGTACTGGCTGAAAACTCTAGAAAATTATATATGAATTCCTGAACTTTTAGGTCTCAAAGACTAAGTTCTTGAGGGAGGCCAAATAACTTTTGTTTATGTGGATTCTATCCTCCAACACTTCCTGCATTAGAAATAAAAACCAAGACCCTAAAAGGCCTGGGGACCCTCAAAATCTTAGGGCCACACTGTGAGAACCACTACATCTGACATACTGGGAAAACATTTCAAGATACAGATGATCTGGACCCCAAACCTAGAGACCCTAATTCAGGAGGTCTGAGAGGGGG